TCGTTTGGGCGGTCTGATTGGCCCTGAGAGTGACGTCACACTTTGACTGCGCAGTGGGTATCCACGGCGTGAGCATACCCTTATCCTTATACCATGTTCCGCATAGCCGTGATACGTGACCGGCTTCGACGAGAACCAGGGGGTAGGCATTTGCCCGCCTCCGTCGGACGCTTCCGACAGTCGAAGTCGTGCCGTATCACGCGTGCACGCAGAAAGCGCACCTTTCGGAGCGCCGTATCGCTCCTCGCATTGCGACGCGTCTCGCACATCGCACGTGTTCCCGGTGTAAGCCCGCGTCCCGTACGCCGCGCGTCACCGAGCGAAGCACGCGACCACGATTCGCACGGCGAATCGTGCCCGCCGCACATACACACTCGCATTACACACACACACACCGTACACTCACAACGACATCGCTTTTGTACACACACGTATACACCGCCGATCGCTGCTACCAGTCGCGACAACTGGTCTCACACGACACCTAGGCACATACATATACACGCATTCACACTCTGTACATAAATACACAAATATATCTATTTCTTTTGCATCAATCCGAGCTGTATTTCACTGCAATATTACCGCCTTGTCTCTCTCCTCCTGGCCGAACCTCTTTGCGACCCTGGCCGCAGCCCGTGACCGACGAGCTACGTCCGCGCAAAGTAAGGTCGTTTCACAATGATTATTACAATTATCATTCACAGCCTCTAAAATAATCATTCTCATGTTCAATTAGCTTCTAAAACTCGACTTTGACTAAACACGATCATTGGCTGTCGTTGAAAGGCGCCACTTTCCCGCCATAATTTCTTTCTAAAGCGCCACTTTAGGGCTGCGTTCAAGAATTACGCCCAAGTAAAGGTCATCACAGACACAAGAATTTTAATCGTAATCGTAAGGCCATAAACAAATTGGCCAATCACAATCGAGCGTTTTAAAAGGTAAAATCGTAATTTTGATTGTAATTGGTCGATTTGCTTAAGACCTTACGATTAAAATTTTTGTACGTGTAATGGCCTTAACTCTTGGGTGCATTTTTGCTATAATATACGTAACGTAAACTATGGCCCGTATTCAGAACGCGCTTTTATCGATAAAAGCGCACTTTTATCTCTGAAATTCTATAATATGCGTGACGTAAAGTATGGTATGTTAGCGTGCTAACATCGTTGTAAGCGCGTTCTGAATATGGGCCTATAACTTAGAGTTATCTAGGCGTAATTCCTGAACGCAACCTAGCGCTAAGCGTCAAAAATTATTTTCATGCGCCAAACCACTACCTCAAAGAGCCATTTTGACGGAAAAGCGCCAAACCTGGCAACTTTGACTGTATTAAAAAAATGAAAATTTATGTCCTCTAACCTCACTTATAATCTCTCGACTTGAATATCACTAGAAAACACAAGGCTACACTAGAGTCCTAGATATCAGAGAAGCGCAACCGGTTTCAGTCAGTATCGCAAAACTACTAATAGCGTTTTCGGCCCGGCCAGGTTTACACCAACCTGGGTTGGATTAATGGCGTTTTGTGCTCTCCTATTGGTAGAGCGGGTGACGTCAACCAATAGGAAAGATTAATCCAACCAAGGTAGGTGCAAACCCGATCGGGCCGAAAACGCTATAAGAAAAGTACTAAAAATGGCGTCGTTTGCAGACGGACTATGAAATCCACCAATCATTTATTGGTCTGCCTTATTTAGTACCAATGAATAAATATTATTGGCTAACAGTCACGCCAATCAGGACGCTCAACATCGTTTACGCTTCTCTGATATCTAGGACTCTAGGCTACACAGCCCTAAGTACAAGGTATCGATCATGAAACTTTTTTCCTAGGATAAAACGCGAAAAGTGAAAAATTTCTTCATTAACTTCAATGCTTAAAATTTTCACTTTTCACTTTCCATCCTAGGGATAAAGTTTCATGATTTATACCCAGATGTGTAGTGTTGTGTGTCGACGATAACCAGCAATTGGAACACAACTTGTGTCACCGTGTGCACGAAAATGTCTAGGGATATTGCAATTGGAAAGTACCCATGAGCAATAGCGTAAAAAATATTTTCTTCGCTACTGGTCATGTTGTCACGCTGATTGGTTGCTGCTTCCTCTGCTTGACGCTTTTGTGGCGGCAGCACTTGTCCAGAAATATTTATCTAGGGACTTCGTCAGAGAGATACAGTATTGGTGGATTTTGAGAACACAAGACTAACGTTCGTCGTCTGACACGTGCAAGGAAAGATATATTGTATCGATCTCATAAGTCTCATTGTTAAAAAATAAAGAGTTTATATTTTTGGTAATCCGGAAATACAATTAAGAACCTATCACGCCCTACAAGCAATCCAGTACTTACGCTGAATACTAAACGGTAGAGAGTCCGGTTTGCCATAAATGGTGACCCCGACGTGATCGGAGGATTCATTAACTCGATCACCCAGGGAGGAATATCCAAAACGACACATATAGTGATCAAACAATACACGAGACAGCAACTGTTTTCGTCGCAGTACGAGCATACTGCACAAACACAACGTGCCGCAGAAAGCATTATCCTTCTCGCATAGAGGTTAGTAACCAAAAAAAGGCTAAATTAAAGCGTCGGACCTTCTCCAACAGGCACACGGCCACGAAACATGCCGGTCGAACGTTCACCTGACAGGACGAGGTCAGAAAGTACAAGCGATTATCCTGAAAGCAAGGACATGGCTCCTACAAGTCCACAGCTGGCTACCGCAGCGGGTGGCTTAGGCAGTGGAGGCGTTGGATCAACAATCAATGCCACATACGCTGTACGCCTCCCACCATTCTGGAGGGATAATCCGCAACTGTGGTTCGCGCAAGTAGAGGCAGCATTCTCAATCGGTAGAATTTCGGGCGATGAATCCAAATTTCGACATGTAGTACTTAACCTAGACCAAAGTACACTTCCGTTAGTTGCAGATATTGTAACATCTCCGCCAGACAAAGAAAAATATGACGCCATCAAAGGACGCCTGGTCTCCGTCCTCGGAGAGACAACAGCCACGAGGATTAGACGCTTGCTTGCTACACATGAACTTGGAGATGACAAACCCTCAATATTCCTACAACGCTTGCGAAACCTTGCCGAAGGACAAGTCAGCGACCAGATACTCAAATCAATATTTATGGAGCGTCTGCCAGAGAATATACGCGCAATCTTAGCCATTAGTGAGGTAACTGATCTCAGTAAGTTAGCCGCACAAGCAGATAAAGTAATGGAAGTAGCAAAACCATTTCCGGGGAGTATCCAAGCGATGAGTCCTAAAACCGGTGATAATACTAGCTTAGTCAATAAAGTTTCAGTAGACATAGTAGAACTGACCAAGCAGATAGCTAAACTGACTAAACAAGTCAGAAGCAGATCCAGAAGCAAGTCACGAGGACGCAGAAACTTCGACAGAAGACCGCGTAGCAAATCCCAAGCGCGCGACAATAAAGAACTATGTTACTACCACAACAAATTCGGCGCACAAGCATACAAATGTGCACCGCCTTGCACATGGAAAAAAAAGACCAGTACGGAAAACTAGAAGAATCGTCACGATTACAGGCGGTCGTCGACGGTCTCAAACAGACTCCACGCCTGACAATCTGCGATAAAAAAGATGGCGTGGCATACCTGATAGACACAGGAGCTGACATATCTGTGATCCCGCGTAGAATGGCACCAGGCTCAAAAAGATCGGAAGAATTTCAACTCTTCGCAGTCAACAACACGGTTATACATACGTACGGAACCAAAACGAAGATTCTGAATCTTGGCCTGAGACGACCATTTCGATGGGAATTTATAGTAGCAGCGGTTAAGCAACCCATTATCGGCGCTGATTTTTTAACGCACCACGGGCTACTGCCGGACCTGAAGCGGCGCAGGCTGCTCGACGAGCAAACACTACTGTCTACAAAAACCGGAACAACCATTACTGGACAACCATCTGTAGCAACCGTCAATCAAAATTACAAATATAGCGAGCTACTGCGGAAGTACATAGACATAACGCCCAGCTACGTCTAAAAAGGTATCTCACAACGTCAAACACCATATAGTAACAAAAGGGCCACCAACTGCAGAACGACCACGTAGACTCCCCCCTGAAAAGTACAAAGCGGCTAAGAAAGAGTTCGAGGCGATGCTAGAGCAAGGAGTTTGCCGCCCATCGTCCTCTCAATGGGCAAGTCCCCTACACATCGTCAAAAAAACGATGGCGGATGGAGACCTTGCGGGGACTTCCGTAAACTTAATAGCACCACGATCCCAGATAAGTATCCCCTACCGCACATACAAGACTTTACGTACTGCCTGGCCAATTGCCAAATTTTTTCTAAAATTGATCTAGTCAAAGCATTTTTTCAAATCCCAGTAGCAGAAGAAGATAGGCAAAAAACGGCGATAACTACACTTTTTGGGCTATTTGAGTTTAACCGGATGCCTTTCGGGCTGCGGAATGCAGCACAATCGTTCCAAAGATTTATCGATGTAGCACTTCGAGGACTAGATTTCTGTTTCGGCTATATCGACGATATATTGGTAGCATCAAAGGATGAAAAGGAACACTATCACCACCTAGAAACACTCTTCCAACGACTAAAGGAACATGGCATAACCATAAACGTGGCTAAGAGCAAATTCGGCGAGAAAAAAATAGACTACTTGGGATATACAATCGAAAGTAAGGGAATTAAACCAATCCCTGACAGAGTCGATGTCATTACAAACTTCTAAAAACCAAACAATATCACCGAACTCAGGCGGTATCTAGGAATTATCAACTTTTACCATCGCTTCATCAGGAACGCAGCAACATTGCTAGCACCGCTCAATAAGTACCTGGTAGGAGCAAGGAAGAAAGACAAACGTCCAGTAATTTGGACTCCAGAAGCTGACGCGGCCTTTGAAGAAAGCAAGAGACGCCTAGCAGAGTCAACACTTCTAGCACACCCATTCGAAGACACCAAGCTTATTCTAAGAACAGATGCTTCAAATTTGGCCATAGGATCTGTCTTAGAACAGTACCAAGAAGGTGAGTGGAAACCGCTAGGATTTTTCTCAAAAAAATTAACAAGCACCCAACAAAAGTATAGTACATACGGTCGGGAGTTACTAGCTATCTACTCCAGTCTAAAATTTTTCCGACATCTAGTGGAAGCCAGAGACATTACAATAGCAACCGATCATAAACCACTATTATACGCCTTCCAGCAAGCATCAGACAAAGCATCTGAGAGGCAAAGGAGGCAACTCGACTTCATCAGCCAAATCACAACCAAAATAATCCACGTCAGCGGAAAAGATAACGAAATTGCAGATACCTTATCACGATTAGAAGTAATTAACATGCTAGTTATTGTATCGACAGATGAACTATATGCAGAACAGCAAACAAACGCTGAACTCAGGACGTTACTAGATTCCCAGACAGCCTTATCATTTAAAAAACTACGCCTGGACAACAGCGAGAAAACGATATATTACGATGTATCAGACTCAATTAGAATATACGTTCCAGTTTCCCTACGCAAGAGGATTTTCGAAGTCTCACACGGCCTATCTCACCCGAGTATAAGAGCAACCAAAAGAATCATTACTGAAAGATTCACTTGGCCAAATATTCAAAAAGACATCGCTAGATGGGTGAAAACTTGTCTCGCATGCCAAAAAGCGAAAATATCGCGACATAACGTGAGGATTCCAGAACAAATTACAGTTCCCGACGAAAGATTTCATCAAGTCCACGTGGATATAGTGGGACCGCTCCCGGTCTCAAAAGGATTCAAATACTGCCTCACCATGATCGATAGAACTACGAGATGGCTGGAAGCTACACCAGTAACAGACTGTACAGCCGACACAATAACGAACGCCTTCTTCAATACATGGATCGCTCGTTTTGGCGCACCAGCGGTAATCAACCGATCGAGGCGCCCAATTCGAATCCGCTCTCTTCGAATCCATGGCCAAGCTGGTTGGTAGTAGAAGAACAAGGACTACGGCATATCACCCTCAATCAAATGGCATGGTGGAAAGATGACACCGCTCACTCAAATCCGCAATCAAATGCTACATGTCACAAGAATGGGTCGACATACTACCACTGGTACTCCTGGGATTACGAGCAAGCTATAAAGCAGACATCAAAGCATTTGCAACAGAGATGGTCTACGGAACCATCCTGAAGCTACCCGGAGAGTACTTCACCACCGAAGATCCAATTGGATGCCCACAGATATTCGTTGAAAAACAGAGAACGTATGCGCATGGTCCGAGGACCCCCCACAACACACCATACAAAAAAGAAGACGTTCCTGCACAAAGAAATGGAAGACTGCACCCACGTATTTGTACGAGTGGACCGTCCAAGAGGACCCTTAGAGCTCCCATACGAAGGTCCATTTCCAATTATAACAAGATTATCAGATTTTATTTACAGAATCAACTACAAAGGACATCCAGAGGAAATAAACATAGACAGACTAAAGCCTGCCCTCATAGAGGAAGGAGAAGACTCAACCCCAACTCCAACCCCAGACGACCTTCCCCACGATGCTCTTCAACCACTGCCGTCCGGATTGAACATAGAGTACAAAAAACAAGGAAAGGTCAGATTCGTTCACTCGACCAGCGAGTCACTGGAAGGGGAGTAGTGTGGCGGCAGCACTCGTCCAGAAATACTCATCTAGGGACTTCATCAGAGAGACACAGTATTGGTGGATTTCGAGAACACAAATCTTGACGCTTTTGTGGCGGCAGCACTTGTCCAGAAATATTTATCTAGGGACTTCGTCAGAGAGATACAGTATTGGTGGATTTTGAGAACACAAGACTAACGTTCGTCGTCTGACACGTGCAAGGAAAGATATATTGTACCGATCTCATAAGTCTCATTGTTAAAAAATAAAGAGTTTATATTTTTGGTAATCCGGAAATACAATTAAGAACCTATCATGCCCTACAAGCAATCCAATGCTTACGCTGAATACTGAACGGTAGAGAGTCCGGTTTGCTATACTTTACGGTTGCATGTGAATGTACCTTAAGTCTGCTGAACGCAATCAGTGAAGCTAGACGTTACTTGATAGACAAGAATAGACTAAGAGCAGCCATCTTCATTTCGTGTATTTGATACCACAAGCTGATTGGCTCGTGATATGAACGACTTCGTATCATATGCTTCACCTTGTTATTACCACCATGATGTTAACCTTGTTTAATATTTAATAAACAAGGATATATGAAATAATAGTTGACTTTGATAAAAATCTGAACACAGCTTTCTAATGCTGGATTCACATTGGATACAGCAAGCGTCAAGCAGCGGAGTAGCAACTAACCAGCGTGACGATATTTACAGTGGCGTAAAAAATATCACTTCACTGGTAGGTTGCTGCTCCACTGCTTGACGCTTGCTGCGTTCAGTGTGAATCCAGCATATGTGACCGATCAATACAATTAATTTATATATAATTTCAAGTACATAAACTGTTACTATATTACTAAAGACAAATGAATTTATTGATTTGTTTTTCAGTGCTTCATAAAGAGTAGTAGATTAAAACTGATTAAAACGCGTTTAATAGATAAACAAATTAAAAAAGTGAAAATTACTGAAAAGGATATTATCCAATTCCTTAATTTGTATCGTGTTATTAGAGTGAATGTCGAAAAAGGGAACCTTTGTAAAATTACAGTTTGGTAATTAAATCACAACTCTTCATTATGATTTATAAACTAATTAATTTTTTATTATATGGTAAATAAGTTTTTCTTTTGTAGAACTCAACGTCAAATTGTATGCAGTTGAAAAATTCGTTATTTTTGTTATTTTAAAAAAAGTACACAATTTTGGAATTATTGTTTGGTCTATTTCAAGATACATCGTTGCTTTATTGAATTCGACGTTGTTTCTTCAGGTACAAAATTTTAAAAATTTTTTAAAAACCTAAATAGTAAATACGGTCAAAATAAAAAAATTGGGGAAGCTTTGACCCTCTCTTGTGTTGAGACTGTTTTTACTTTTTTTTTAAAGGAGTTTTTATAGGTATATATCAATTTTTCTTTATATCACTTGATTTATCTTATTATTTCACCTGAAAAGGTCATGAGTATAATTAGAAAAAAAATGATAGTAGGGTAGACCGGGGAGTAAAGGTCCCCAGGGAAAAAGGTCCACCCCTTGTATCCCGGTAATAAGGTATTTACTAGAAAATTCCGCCACACAGTTCGTCAACTAAGAGTGAGAATCTTATGTCACACAGTTCGTTACTGCCTAATAACCGTCAGGAAACTTGCACGGATATGCCTATGTGTTTGAGAGCCAAAAGTTAAGATATTAGCGCCGCAATTATTTTGGTCTGAAGGGATCATTTTTGCACCTAGATAGATTAAATAAGTGTATTTATTAATCTTATTCTATTGTTTTAACAGTGTGATTATTAGAATTGTTATT